AGGTTTTTCTATAACAACTCAACAATCATACTACAACTTGCTGAGCATCTACTACATGTAAGGGATTTCACTTATAGTCTCATTTATAATCCTCTCAGCTTCATAACAGTCCAGAAACAGACATTGTTATGCTAATTTCACAAATGAGAAAACCGAGTCTCAGAAAAATTGTGAGTTGCCCCAAGCTACCCGCCTACTTTGCGACAGCACCCAATTCCCCCACTGCTGCACTCCCCTGATAACACACCACAGCTTTATCTAGCAAACGCAGCAGGCAAATTTCTAGAAATTGAAACAATATTTTCTATACAGGGATCAAGCTTAACGTTATTAAGTAGGTGAGCAACACTTGATGGAGTTAAATTAATGTGGCATGTCATATCAAGAAGTCACCAAGAATTGAGAGAATCTGAGTCTTTGCTTTCCTTCAAGATTCTATTTCCTCCTGGCATCTTCTTCAGCATCTATCTACTACCTATGTGAAAAAATAACCAACTAGTTCTGTTAAATCTAGGCCCAAGCACAGTAGGGAATGACAAGGAGATCTTTTAGGCAGCCTCTTTCTCTTGATGGCAGTCCCCTGCTATTTCTAAAGGAAATTACATGCACAGCCCTCCTGCACTGTGCTCATTCTGGTGGAGCCATGAGTCAGAGTCCTGCAATCTCCTGGCCAAGGTGACAAGTGACCCAGATAAGCCATAAAGATGCTCACCTGAAGGGAGTGATGCATGAACGGGGGAAATAGTTGGCACTCATATTGATATATTCACTCCTACTAGAACCCTGGTCGGCAAACTGCAGCTAGCGAGCCACGTGCCGCTCTTTGGCCCCTTGAGTGTGGCTCTCCCACAAAATACCATGGCCTGGGCGAGTCTATTTTGAAGAAGTGGTATTAGAAGAAGTTTAAGTTTAAAAAATTTGGCTCTCAAAAGAAATTTAAATCATTGTACTATTGATATTTGGCTCTGTTAACTAATGAGTTTGCTGACCCCTATCTTGGAACATCAAGTAGGTCCTGCTCTCTGCACCCTACCACCTGGACCCTTGCAATAGTCCTTTTCTGCGTCTGGTCCATGTATCTTGTGATGATACACAAATCCTTCTCATTGACCACCCAGTGTTTTTTGACCAGTCACTTCCCTCTTAGTCTGGCTTCCATTTAAACTGACAAAATCACTAAACTGTTGACTCTGTGAGGGCAGGAGCCATATCTATTCAGACTTATCCTTGCAACTCGAGTACCTAGCACAAAGCTTGGCATAAAATAAGCCATCAAGAAGTATTTTAATTTCTCCATTAATTAGTGAGGTTCAGAAGTAAATGAGTCCTCCCAATCTAGATCCAAGTGGGAAATTTAACCTTACATTACGGATTCGCCTTGAGGATTTTTAGATGGGAAAGGATCTGCTGCACATCTTTGCTGAACAAAAGCAGAACCTTCGACATGATGAAGAGTGACTGAGAGCATCATATGAAAACAAAGAGAATGTGTTTCTTCTTGTGCAGCTAAGTCTAAAATGTGATGATGGGAAAGATAGACAGAGAGCCCTGGCTGGATGCCCAATGGTTAAAGCATTGGCCTGCAGACCCAAGGGTTGTGGGTTTGATTCCTGATCAAGGGCATGTACCTCAGTTGCAGTTTCAAGTCCTGGCCCCAGTCAGAGTGCGTGCAGGAGGCAACCAGTCAATCTGTACATCGATTTTTTTCTTTCTCTCTCTTTCCCTCCTCCCTCCTTTTCATTCCCTCTGAAAAATCAGTGGGAAAATATCTTCAGGTGAGGATTTTAAAAAGAGAGTAAGAGAGAAATGTGTGTCGATCTGGGTGAGATATTTCTGTTGCACATCCCAGAGCCTCTGATTCTGAAAGAGGGTGGTTGCATGGGTAGAGAGAGGATAGGAAAACCAGGAAGAGTGCCAAAGAAAGCAGTGTGCTATGCTAAGAACTGTCAAGGCAGAAGTGGCTGCTCAGGCCTGGCAGGCCTCTTACTAGACAAATAATCCAGGTAGGGCTAGCGCAGGAAGGAAGCTGCAGCACATTGCTGCCCGTTCTCCTTCCCAACTTTTTTCAATTTCTCCCAAGTTCTCTCTGCCTCTCAGTCCATCTCTCTGTCTTCTTACACCACATACACGCCCCCATATGCATGCACACAGAGAGGCTGTGAGAACTCAGAAACATGCAGACGACATAAAATAAATGGAACTGAAAGAAATCCAACACCACAACCCCTGGTAATGATAATGATGAAGAAAAGTGGCTGCCAGATGTATCTTGTGATGACGCCAATGATCTAATTCTCTTATTATCAAAAGATGCAGGTAGAGGCAGCCTTGACAAAAGGCTTTAAAAAATCAAAAGAGTGCAGCATCACTGGAACCGTGTTATCTGATTTATGCCTTTTCAAAGACCAGGCTTGTGTCATAAGCTGATAATAGACTCTAGCCATCAAACGTTATTTTATCTGGTATCTTGATTTTAAAGAACGGTGGGAACTAGCAAATGGCACTGGGCTATTTATATAATGTTTGAAACTGTTAGTTCACTAGGGGAAAACAACAACAACAAAAACAACAACAACAACAATACACATACACCAAAAATCAAAACCCAGACTAGATAATAATAGAATGGAAAGCAGCAGACTTGATGCTAACAATGTAGAAGGTAATTTCTAAATCAGAGCAAGCATTTTTCTTTCAACTTTTCAAAATGAAAATATAAAGGAACAATATGTTGGTATGTGGAGCCTTCCCCACAAGCACTCAGTCTCAGGCACTGTCAGAGTTCAAAGCCATCCCTGCCAGCAGATGGAGACTCCGGCTAAAGAAGAATCCACATCGGGAAACAGCGCCATCCATCCATTAAGTTCCTCAGGAGTAAGAGGGTCTTGTGGAGTAGACACAACACACACAAAAATTTGTTTAAGTTTTTTTTTTTTTTTTAAGCTTAAGTAATTGGACATAAAAACTCCCCAGAAGCATGATCTAATCATTTCTTAAAGAAGACATCTTTTTCCTTAAATGACTAGACATTAATCAAACAGACCTCCACACTTGAGAAGATAAATGCCAAGAAAAGGAAGTCTTCTGTATATTTACCTTACTTTCTAAAGCTCAGACGTTAGAAGTGAATGAGTTTTTTGACCATTTATCATACAGAGAGACCAATTGTCTCGCAGACAATTTTATGTCAAACCACACCTGGCCATACATGTTTGTCTCTTGATTCATGAGCTCTAAATATCACATTGCAACAAGGTTGGGCTGAAGCCAAAAGTAATGTGTTTAAAACTCCTTCCCTGCAGTCTTAGATTAGCTGTGATACTGGAAGAAAAAAAGCTGCCTTGATGATCCAAAACTATGGATTATCTAAGAGTTATTTATTTAGTGTTTTAAGCATATTATTTAATGGGGTTCAGGCAGTATATTGACCTTCCTAATGAGGTTTGACTAAAGCCAATATTAAAATTAATGTGCCCTCCCTTGGCACCCAGTGACAGAGTGTTACAGTTGCTGGCTCAGAAGGTTTGTGTGGTGGGGAGAAACCAGCCTGGCAATAAAAATTGGCCTCGGACAATCCGCATGCAGATTATGAAGAACTGAGTTCATCACTGTTAGGGATTCCAGGAACAATCTTTCCAGACCAGGCTCAGTGCTCAATGATCAGAATATATTGATAGGAAATATTGATCACAGTGGTTATGGTTTATGGAAACACAAAAAGAGAATGTAAAAGATCTTGAAAGTGGTTTTAAATGAACAGCCCAGTACCACAGCATCAGAACTCCACAGCCATTAAAAACCACTACAGGGCGGTATCATAGAGATGAGCCCGTGGCAGATACTACTAGGCCAAGGCCAAGTAGGTGAAGTGTGTCCTTTCCATCTCCTAACTTCCCCATTTTCTCCCTTCACTCCCCTTCTCTCCCCGAATCTCCAGGTGGAAATGACTAGTAATAGCTTATAGCATGACATCTCCTAGCAGTCCAAAGTCAATGCCAGAGTATGGCTTTTAGTAGGAATACCCCCTGGATTCCATTATTATTCTCATCAGGTCACTTCACAGCTGTGTGACTTGGAGGCAGTTGTACCTTTCTCAGAATTACCTTCTCCATTGGAAAAAAAAAAAAATAGGTATAAGGAATGAAATTATATTCAAAGGATCTTAATACCAAGAAGTATTTCTTTGTAATAGAATAGATGTAGGTGCAACATGGTTCTCCTCATTATTCTAAATCTAAAGATTTAAAGACCATATTCTCTTTTCTTTAATTTGTCTAGCTGGATATTTCAAACTCCAAAAAGTAGTTGAGGTGCTAAATTACCCAATTAATCCTCAGAGTAACCACATTTACACTGACTGCCCATCTACTACATCCCAAACAAGACCTTCCCATCTCAAATCCATGTTGGTGAAATCCCTCGGCCACATTTTCTGAGCAGATGATTACAGATGCTCTCCTTCTCTTTGTATTTAAATCCTCAGCCTGAGTGGACAAAGCAAGCAGGACAGAGGAGCAAAGCACAAGGCAAGCAACGGACAAAGACTAACTCTCTGGTGAATTTGCCTAACTTCCATTTCATGGTAAGAAACCAAAATAGTTTTTCAAATATGCTTGTGCAGTAGCACTATCCTTGAATGTGTTCAGCCAGCTCCCGTCTGAGTCGGTGTAATGAGTCTGCATTTTATAAGAGCTGAGCCAGGTCCAAATGGAACAGTGTAACTGTTAGAAAGATTAATGGGTTGTATCATCCCACCGTTGACTATAAACTTCTAATTGTGTGAATCTCAGTGTGGCGTCTAGAGCGAGATCAGAGCCTGCTTCCTCAATCACTAATATCCACTGATATTGTTCATTATTTTTCTAATGCCAACCCCAGGTACATCTGGGCTGGGCAGATCCCCGAGGAAAACAACAACTTTAGTTGTAGGTACTTGGGAGCAGTCATTATCTCTGTTCCAATTAATTCATCAATCAGTGTTTACCAAGTTGCCACTGAGAACAGGGACCAGCACTGAGTCCTGCTGAGTTAGGGAGGATAGCGGAGTCTGTAAAGACTGAGGCTGGGCTCTGGAGCAGCTATAACCAGGAGCCAAGAGACAGAGATGTCTTTTTGAGTTGGCACTGCGTGACACCAGGCAACTCCGTTATCCCTCCGAGCCTCAAACTGGGAAGCAGGACACCAGCCAGATCACCTTCTTGAGGAACAACAGACACATGTGTGTGAACACTATTTGAAAAACATTAAGCTTGGCATAAATGAGAGCATTCATCACGCCCTGCAATAGAAAATAAAGATCCTGTAGAGCTAAGAATAAAACAAGTTAACTTGGTCTACCTGCACCCATTTTCTTTCTTATGAATGCATGTCCTCTCTTCCCACATTTCAGAACATTTGGAGTAGTTTCTCCATATGAGCAACCCCTATTCTTTTTCACCTTTGAAATAATACGCAGAGGCTTTTTTTAAGCTGTACTTGATTTGTCCTTGACAGAACCACATTCTATTAAAAGAACGGTCAAGTATGGCTCCTGGTTGGGATCAAAGGAAAGTTGGAGAGGACTTCTTTCCTCTACCTACTCCGTCCCTCTCACCCTATTTTTCTGGATCTCTTCTGCTTCCGCTGAACAGGAAACACAGAGGGCTCAGCCAGGCCGTCCCTCCTTCCCACAGGAAGCTGGACCATTGAGCAGAAGTCCCAACAACCGCTAGGCCCTTCCTCCCAGGCATCTAATTGTAGAAGCTGCTTTTAATGACTTCACCAAATATCTCTTTTTCCTTCCTTATAGCTGCATTAAATGAACACATTCTCTTATGTTCTGAACAATATTCTTTTATTTTCTTTTAAGAAGTGAAGAGAGTCGAAACCGGTTTGGCTCAGTGGATAGAGCGTAGGCCTGCAGACTGAAAGGTCCCAGGTTCGATTCCGGTCAAGGGCATGTACCTTGGTTGCGGGCACATTCCCAGTAGGAGGTGTGCAAGAGGCAGCTGATCGATGATTCTCTCTCACGGGTGTTTCTAACTCTCTATCCCTCTTTCTTCCTCTCTGTAAAAAATCAATTAAAAAATATATTTTTTTTTAAAAAAAAGAAGAAGTGAAGAGAGGAATATTAGTTACCTGTATTGCTACAGTGTGTTGTGAAATTCTGGATGGCATAATGCTTGTTGGCAAACATGACTGCAAAGCTCCAGAGTTAATCAAGTTGCTGAGGTTTTCAGGATCCGGATTTGGCAAAATTCCCCCACACCCTCAGGCCAATTTAAATGTTTACATATCTAGGGAACAGTAAATATAGAATATGTAAGTCCAGCATTAAGAAAGAATTGTGGCTGCAGTCCTGTCTAACAAGCATGTCCCCCTATGTCCTCAAAACCTTCCTATGGACTGGATGGGGAATAATATGTATGCCCTCCTCAGTCCTGGGAAAAGCTCTGTTGCGGCTCTCCAAAAGGTTGAGGGATTCACCTGCCACCTCATTTGTAACAACCTAATGTATGCTCTGTAGATCAGAGAAATGGGCTGATTAGGAACAGATTTGTGTACATGCGAATCTGCACTCTGAATGATGGACATGCTAAAGCTTATTGCACTCTGGAGATAGAAGTAACTTTGATTCCATCAACTGTCTCCAGTTGTTACAATATGGCCTATAAAAATACAACCCAAAGAAGCCTGAAAATAACGAGTTGGCAAGAGGTGCAGTATCAGATTTTACCAGCAATACCCATAGAGTTCTTTACCAGATATGTAAAGGTTGTATGTTAACCAAGATGTCTCAATATATCACTAAAGGAAGAATTGCCAAATCCAGGTCTTAAACTGACCGCCAAATAATATTTTCTGCTGTTTTCCCCCAAAGGCAAGAAATAATAGTAAGAAGTCTGGTCCTGCTAGAGTTACTCTGTGCCATGAAGGGGGAAGAAGGTCTGGGCAGGGAAATTTAAAGCAAGAGGAAATAATAGAAGGAAAATACTATTCCTCATACCAATGAAATTCTGCCATTCGCAAGCAAGATGTTCTGTCAAATCTGGACTGTGTGAACTTTGTAAGTGAACAAATGCCCTGGTTGCTACGGAAATGAGGGAGGAAACAGTGAAAGGCCCAGAGACCCAGAGAGAAAAAGCCTGTGTTAGTTTTGAGGCATTGGATGTTTTTCCTCTCATCTTTAAGAGTTCAAATTGTAGAGGGTATGAACAAACGAAAAGCCCAATGAGACTATGAGGAGGAGCAGCAAACCCACCTAGAGTAGGGGAAATGAACTTTCCCAAATGGAGCACCAGGCCCTTTTCTTTTTTCTTTTTTTCTTTTTTTTTAATATATTTTATTGATTTTTTACAGAGAGGAAGGGAGAGAGATAGAGAGCTAGAAACGTCAATGAGAGAGAAACACCGACCAGCTGCCTCTTGCACACCCCCAACTGGGGATGTTTCCGCAACCAACGTACATGCCCTTGACCAGAATCGAACCTGGGACCTTTCAGTCCGCAGACCGATGCTCTACCAAACTGGTTTCGGCACCAGGCCCTTTTTGTAAGCACAACACACAAGGTTGACAAGGCCACCCTCAGACTCCTTGGTGGCATTTTAGGACCTTGCTTTACAGCTCCCTTTCATTTCATTGGGATGTAAATAATTGATAACTTGATGGAACCCAAGAAACCCACTGCAACTGAACAGAGATATTTTTTATGACATCAATTACAGGGCTAGTGACTTGATGAGAGCACAAAAAAATTTCAAACCACATTTTAATGATCTCAACCAAGAACTCCTAGTGTTCCAAATGAGAGTTGGGTCTCTGGGCCTTGTTTTTATTATTTTCCCCCCTCCATTTGCCCTCATAGGAAATATAAGTTACAGATGAACAGAAGAGACTGTTAATTATTTTCGTGTTTATACTTTGCAAGGGTGGGTTGCAGGCCCACTTATTCTAATAGAGGAGGAAGGCCTAAGGGAGCTGAGGGCTTTGAGGGGAGGTTCCTGGTGTACCCATTAGGGCCACGTGCTATGTGACAGAGGTGTTGTGGAGGTAGGCATGTCAAACTAAGGCTACGATTGTAGTTGAGATTGTCATTTGTGACATTACAACACCGAGGTGCATTAAACTGATACAGTAAGCAGTACCATGAAGGCTGTTGAAAGGAAGTCAGAGTTCAATTATTTGTACTTGAGGCACTTTATGTGGTGATGACTTCTGAATTTATAGTTGTCAGAACAGAAGTAGAAATGTTGATTGGTTTGACAACAGGTCTGTTCACGCTTGTGTCTGGTTGATTGTGAGGTCCAATTCATATTTCTTTTTCTCTGGGAAAACTCTTGAAAGGTTGCTCTTTCTTCATGAGGAAGGTCCAGAACTGTGTCTAGAAAGTTATCCAAAAACCCAGATGATGCTGTGCTGTGGGAGGTGTACCCAATACTCATCACACATGGCTGCTGTGGAAGGGTGCTTTAAGGTAATATTGGGGTGGAGAGTGTGGAAAGGACCTGGGTATGTCTCAAAATGAAGGGAGTGCAGGGTAGGAGAGATGCTTCAACCCAATTCCAAGAATAATAAAATCCTATTCTTCTGTGATTCATGACATACATTGGATTCCACCATATGCCAAAACACATCTTTAAATGTCAGGACAGGATACAGGAAAAATCTTCTGGAATTAGGTTATAATAGACACTTGGATGTGTCTTTCCACTACCACCACTGTCACTGTTGGACTGCATTTCTTTCTTTCTGTGGAGAGGCCTGAATAGCCAAGGGACAAACTTTTTTGGTTAGTTAGTTTAGAACTCAAGAACTCTACCAAGTTGCTTGTTCTCAAAGTTGAAAAAGATACTGGCTGGCTGTTAGGCCAGGTTATTGAATCTCTCACACTTTAAAGCAATGTAATTCTAAGCTTCTATGTATTGTAAAGAGCTGTTCATTGACTTGGCTCATAAGCAGAAAGAAGCGGGGGTGGGGGTAGGTGACGGTATTTTGGGGGAGGCAGTGAATGGTGCAATGAAAAGAATAATTCTTTCTCTCCTTCCCAGGTTCTTTATACAAATACATCCTGTTTCTCCAGTTTTATTTCCTCAACATTCTTCTCTACTTTCTTAATACTCTCTATCATCGCAACATGTAAGATAAGTTATAGGACATAAGAGCTTCAAAGTGTCAGCAGCAAAGTGCTTCTTGCGGCTACCTTCCTGGCCTCTCTGTAAACAGCATCAGGAAAAATCAATCTGTTTTTATAAGTCTTCCAACCCAATTGGGTCTACTTAAGAAAAATCTCCAGATGAAATTTATTGAAATGCTCCTAAATGCCTTCTATTTATGTATCACAAATGAAACATTATTTAGAATTTGGAAGTGGTTTGTGGAGTATTTGAGCCATTTCAGATTCCGCCTGTAATAAAAACTTATCAATGGAGTAGATATTTTATCACATTGGTGTTAATGTTGGGCTGCTGATTTATCATTAATAGAGCATTAGGCTAGAAAACAATGGCCATATTTGATGGTTTGATGACTTTTTTTCTCCTATTTTATGCCACAATCACTTCCTGGTCTTACTGTTGCCCACTAGAACTGTGTAAAGTTTTATGGACTAAGTCATGTCAAACGACACAGTGTCAAACAGATCTGGAGACAATTTTGGAGGATTTAGGTGAGAAAGGAAGTCATGTGACTTTCCCAGCCTTACTTGTTCCTGGGGACAGATACCTTTTTGCACACAGATTTCGCACCCAGAATGGTGATATAGAATTAAATTTAAATACCAGAGCTTCTACCTCAAAGGTCACCCTAAAGTCACAGCCATATTTGACTCAATGGTTTCTGGAGCAAGAGTTTATTAGAACTGTTCATAAAAGACTGCATGGCTGTCAGCTTGCCACGGAGAGGACACATGCATTATAAACTTCTGGAAGGCTAGTAAGCAGCTTTTTCAGAATCAGGTAAGCTGAATTGAGTTCTAGAGTCTCTTTAATAGCTATCAGTTGTCAGTATTGCAAAACATGTGCTATATTGCTATGAAACTTACTGTTCAAATACAGGAAAGGAGAGAAAGAGAGAGAAAGGGGAGAGCGAAAGAGAGAGAGAGAGAGAGAGAGAGAGAGAGAGAGAGAGAGAGAGAGAGAGAGAGGGAGGAAGGAAGGAAAATACTTGTCCAATCATTAAAGTCAGCATAGAACTCACTCCCATACTTCCTGAGCCTGATGTCAGGCTGCCACATTTCTCTTTGATCATCACTGAGGCACTGCAGGGAAAGAGGAAGGAGCAGATAATTGGCCAGTGGACCAATTGCTTTGCGTTCCATAAAGGTCACAGGTTATTCCTCCATTGCTGGGTTTAGATTCTGGGAGTGCACAGAACTAGGAGAACAAAATGAGACTTATTCATGGCAATCTAAGTTGATCCTTTTTTGCTCACTTTTCCTTCTAATACGTTGGGCAATCCTATTATTTCTTCTCCTACAGTAGTAAAACAAGAGACAGATCCAGGTTAAGACCAAACCAAAGTTCAAGTGTGGATTTTCTCTTTTGCAGTATGAAAATGTGTAGATTTCAAAAAGGAAATATAATAGTATAATTATATCTGGTCTCCCCAATAATCTATACTACTTATTAAAATTCAATAGTTCATGAGGTTTTGTAAAGAGTTAAATGTTGAATCGCTAACAAATTAAATATAACTTATTTCAATCAAATGACTAGGTGACTGAACCCTGTGTTTTACACAATTATTACATTTAATTTTCTTTTAATGATTTAGGCAGTTGTTCTCAAGGTGTGGTTCCTAGAACAGCAGCGTTACCTGGGAACTTGTTAGAAAAGTTACATGTTATCAGGCCCTCCAGGTGATTCTGATGCACACTACAGCTGAGAATAACTGGGTTATGGAGTACTCCCACTTTAGAGATAAGACAACTGAGACACAAAGAGCTTACAGCAATTTTCCCAACACCACACCACTAGAAAGTAGTTGAATCTACATAACTACAAAATCCTTGCTCTTAACCACTAGGTTCTGCTGCATGATGGATCTCAGTTTACTTGGGTCAAGAATATGGACAAATGAGAAACATACTCCGGAGAAAGAATTTAGTGTTGCTTTTTTATTATTATGAACTAAAAGAAATGGCTTTAAAATAGTCTTCCTTGGTTGACTGTCTATCTATAAAATACCTGAAATGAAAGTTATGATTCAGAATAATAAATTCAAACACCAGGTAGATGGAGGAAAATAATGCCTGGAACTAGAAGTCCCAGAGAGCAAACAGCTCCTGCACCCTGCGGAGGGCATTCAACCTGGCGCCAACAGAACAATGCTACATCAACAGAATCTCTCAAGAGAAGCCAGGTATTCAATTTTGCAAGTGAAATCTTGTAACTGTAAAACATTAGCTACTAATTCATGAATTTTGTAAAACCATGTAGATTTTTTTTAAAAAAAATAAATAAATAACATGGATTTTGCTTATAGAATGCCATTTTGCAAATTCTTACTGAGAAATCCTCATACCATTTAATGAACCCAGATCAAAAGACTGAAGGGGCATAAGGCTCATGGAAAATATGTTTGTGGAGAGGCATGGAAAATTGAACTCATGGGAACTATGCTAAGTGCTCACGTTATCAAACACAGCCCAAACCTGATGGCTATGTCATAGGGGCCACTTTTATTAATGTATAGTTTGGAACATTATTTTACCACATTTTCATGCTTGTACAATCTTTCCTGAGATCTTGTGATTGCACACCCTCGTTTCACAAACGACTATCTGAGTGTTGGGAAATTACCTTTTGAGATATATGTCAAGTGGTTATGTGGGCACCATTTTCAATTCTCATTGAAAAAGCCACTCTACAAACTGAAAAACATTCGGAGGAAGCAGGTTTGGAAAGGTTATTGCAAAATCCATCTCAACTGCAAACAGAAGTGATTTTAATGCCTGTTATTTTGGAAGCAGTTCAAAGTTGTTTTTTCCATTGTAAATAGCATTAAAGTGCTCTGCGGAGGCAAGTATTACTTTTTTCTTGGCTGGCTGCACTTC